AACTGGTTTATTCTTAATCAATACAACTTTGCAATACACAGAATTTCCACAGCCACTTTAACTTAAACACATGCTATAATTCACAACGATTTACACACTTTACTTACGGATTGACTCGATTATCTATTTTTATCAATTTATCTACCGGCTTATATACTGAAATAGAGGGCGTCTAGAAAACGCTGGGACGTTCGAGAGGTTCCCCGATCCTTCTAGAATCTCATCAGGAGTTACCAGCGTCATGTGACTTACGCTGTCGTAACACTGCCCCTTCCTTAGTATTGTGCATCTCGAACAATAGCCACTTACATTTAACCAATAGATAATTAACAACAACTTAATTAAAAGTACAGAATTTACAAAATTAAAATTCAACAGTCTCTTAATTTTACGGGACGTATCTTCTTCCATACTGGTCTCCATTTCGTTGGCTTCTGCTTCACGTGGGGTTCATCTGCTCCATCAGAAAATGTCCCACTAACGGCAACAGTCATATCAGTCGTAGTAACTTCATTAAGGGCTTCACTGTTTCCCTTCCCAAAACCGGGTAGAGTTACTTCTTCGACAGGGGCTTTTTCAGGTAACACATATTCAGTATCACCATTTGTTCTGTTGTTCACTTGGTTCCAATTGAAATGTCCTGGACCATGATAACCCCACAGCATGTTGCCATGCACCACCTTTGGCTTACCTTGCCGACCACATTTTATTCGGAAAGTCACGTCTGAGAGACGATCCACTATGTCATATGGGCCTTCCCATGGAGAAGACAACTTAGGAGACTTCCCTTTGGTCTTCCTGGTATTATACAACCACACCTTCTCTCCTGGTACAAAGATGACTTCATTAGATCTTTCATCATAACATAGCTTCATGGAATCAGCAGACGTTTTCAAGTTTGAATGAACTTGGTGGTGAATATCATTCATCCTTTTAGATAACACTTTCACGAACTCTGACACATTTTTCAGTCAACTCTTCTTAAAGTGGGCGTCCTGTTATCAGATCCACTGGCAACCGAAGTTCGCGACCAAATGTCAACTTTTCTGGAGTGTATCCAGTGCTTCATGCTCTGCTGTTCTATAGGCTATCAACAGTGGAGGAAGTAAAACATTCCAGTCATCTTGGCATCTACTACAAAACTTTGCCAATTCCTGTCCAAGAGTCCAATTGTATTTTCTATCATTCCATCAGACTGTGGGTGAAGTGGCGTTGTCCTGATCTTCTGTTTGCCAAACAACTTGCAGCATTCATGGAACACAGCTGATTCAAAGTTACAGTCTTGATCTGAATGCAGTTCATATGGCATACCAAACCTGAAGAAGAAATCACTAATAGCCGAAGCTACAGTTGCAGCTTCCTAATTTGGTATTGCATATGCCTCAGGCCATTTGGTGAAATAATCCATCACTACACAAATGTACCTGTTTCCAGCATGAGTTTGGGGCAATGGACCAGCAATGTCAATGTCCACTCTTTCCATTGATGCACCAACTTGATATAACTTCATTGGAGCACGTCCCTTATGCTTGGGTCCCCTTTTAGCACAACATATACTGCAGGTCCTGCACCATTCTTCCACATCTTGCCTCATACCTATCCAGTATAATCTCTGCCGTAGGTGACTCAATGTTCTCCTGTTAAACTATCGTGGGAATGACGCAGCATAACTTCTCGTAAGTTTCTCGGTATAACTGTTTGCCAGGTCATCACTTTCCCATTTGCAGTTTCCCATCTCCGGACAAGAATACCATCTTCAAGCTTAACTGGTCCCATTGTGCCCAATAATTCTTTGTCACAGGGCTTAAGCTAAACACCATCTCCCAAGCAGGGTGCAAAACACTTACTTGTAGAAAATCAATTACTGGCTTCAAATCTTGGTCTTTCTCCTGTTCTGCTTTAATATCTATACCTGGTGCCACTTCATCATCATTAACTCCTTCAGTCACTTTAACTTCAGCTTGATGACACCTGGTTAGTCCAACATCTCTTTTAAAACTAACCAGAATTTGGCCTTTGTTGTTCCCAAATGTCATTTTGTCAAAATTAACTACACACTTTCTCGGTAGTAAGTAGTCCAACCCTAATATGCATGGGTCTTCAATGTAAGCCAAATATACTCCGTGTCTGTACTTTATGCCCATGAGCTCAATAGTTACCCACACTGGTCCCCACAACCTTGCATAATGTCCTGTCACACCACAGAGCTTCTGTATGGCTTCTGGTACTCCTTTGTGATCTAGCATCTTGATACTCACAAGGGTTTGCTGAGATGTAGAATCTATGACAAAGTTGCAGTTTTGGCCATCCAGCTTTCCTGTCACATAGACACTGTGTGTGCTTGCCATTTTAAACTTAGCTGTTGGGATTTTCACAATGGGGGTTGATAGGCGTCCCTCAAAATCAACCACTACTGATTTCCCCGAGGCTGACTTATTGGTAGTATTCTTCTTACACTGGTTCCTCATATATCCTTCTTCTCCACAGTTCCAACAACTTTCTGGGTAGCAGCCTTTCCTGCTGTGGCATATTTCCTGTGTTGAAGTTGCCGGCATTGAGCTCTCTTGTGCCCAGGATTGTTACAGCACCAGCAAAGTCTCTCAAACTTCTCTGAAAGCTGCCCTTGAATCCTGATGACTGTACCAACCTTGGTACCTCTTTGCTGGACTTAACATAGGATTCGAATTCAAGAGCTCTGGCCATTGCATCTTGTATAGTAGAGGAATGTGCTTGCTTTACTTGTATCTTCAGTTGTGGACTGTCCAAGACGTCTACAAACTGATCCCTCAGTAACAGCTTGAGGACATCGGGTGGTGCATTTGGGTAGGCCTTGTGTGCCATACTTTCCAAATCCTGTGCCAGCTCTTGCAGGCTCTCCCCTTTAGCATGGACTCTTGTCCTAAACCTAGCCCTGTAAACTTCAGACTGATTTTGAGTTCCATACCTGAGTTCTAGAGCAGCTACCAGTGCTCTATAGTTGTGCCTATCATCTGCTGACAACTGTTCAAGTATTTCCAGTGGTTGTCCCTTCAGGCTCGTTGCCAGGTACACTGCTTTCTGCTCCTCTGTTCATCCATTCATTTCTGCCAGTAGCTCAAATTGTGCTCTGTATGCTTCCCATGGTGCTTTCCCATCGAATTCCTGTGGCTTCCTTCCTACTGGATCACTCCTATTACTGACATTCATATCTGGGATGTGACTTCTAACAGGACTGAAGATGTCTGTATTAGGATTTAGCTGTGGGATTTGGAAGGGGCTTCCTGTTGTCTGGGGCTGATTAGGTCCATGGTTAATATATCCTCCCTGTGTAAAGGACAGTAAATCGTCCTTTAATGTATTTAATTCACTTTGAAATTTACTAATCTTTTCCATTTGTGTATGCTGGCTTTCTCTCAACTGTTGGAGACTTTCTTCTTGTTTATTTTCTTTCTCCTTCAACCACAGCTGCAGTCTCTCTTCTTGTTTATTTTCTTTCTCCCCCAACCACTGCTGTAGTCTCTCTTCTTGTTTATTTTCCTTCTCCTCCAACCACTGCTGTAGCCTCTCTTCTTGTTTCTTTTCTTTCTCCTCCAACCACTGCTGTAGCCTCTCTTCTTGTTTCTTTTTTTTTCCTCCAACAACTGCTGTAATTCTCTTGTTTATTTTGCTGCTTGAGCTGACACTGTTGAAAGTTTTCTTGCCACTGCTGTTGTCTCTCTTCTTGTTTCTTTTGCTGTTCTTGTATTGCTGCCATCAAATCTGCTAAGTCATAGTTTGATTTGGCATTTCTCGTTTCCATCTTTTTTCTTCTTTTTATCGATCCCACATCTGACACTAATATGTTATGTATCTGCTTGTTTGATCATTTCCCGTAAATTTTTTTTCCGAGAAACTTCAGCGATACAAGTCCTTTCTTAAATAAAATTAGTTTATTCTTTCTCAATACAACTTTGCAATACACAGAATTTCCACAGTCACTTTAACTTAACACACGCTATAATTCACAACGATTCACGCACTTTACTTCGGGTCACTACCGCTTGCTTGACTTAATTATCTGTCTCTATATCTCACTATCTGCTCTTTATCTCCGCTTTACTTGCCAGGCTTATATACAAAAAAAGAGAGGGCGCCTAGAAAAGACTAGAGTTGCCAGGAACAGTCATGATTCTTCTAGAAACTCCATACTTCCAGCGTTGCGTGACTTCTGCTGTCGTAACAATATGTTGTACCTTAAGTATCTGTGACAATCTTATTTTATTACCTGACAGGTACATAATAAGTAAATACTTGATGCTACCAGTGATGTAAAATTTTATTTACTTCAAGCTGGAAGACAATGAACAGTATTTAGTTAAAAAACTGGGATTACTGAAAGCATTGGTGTTTCTTGCTTTATAAATGGGTGTTTAGAGTAGTTCATCAAGTTCATCTTGTCAATCAGAGTAGAAGAAAATAATTTAAGAAACCACTGAAAACAAGTGAAATTCACTTTTAGTTCTTTCAATTCATATAGTTATTCAACAAAGGTTTAAAGAAATTCAAAGCACTAGCTAGAGCAACTTAAAAAAGGTTTAATGTAGAATTCTGTGCACCTTGTTTACACAAGCACATGTTTAGCTATTTAGAGGCCTGGTATGGCCAGGTGGATAAGGCGCTCGACTCGCAATCTGAGGGTCGTGGGTTCGAATCCCCGTCCCACCAAACATGCTCGCCCTTTTAGCCGTGGGGGCGTTATAAAGTGACGGTCAATCCCACTATTCG